CCAATGGTTTTCGTGCTGCACGATTTTGGTTTATCTCATTGATATCTGGTTTGACCAGGTCACCATCTTCACTGGTACTGGGTGTCCCAAACACCGAGCAAGTCAGAACCGTTCAAGGAAGGGCCTTATGACTTCTGAAGCAAATGTAGCAGCCCCATGCTTTGAACAGTCAGCGGTCCGACACGTACCCTACCGGCTGAAGGCCGCGCCGTTCCGATATGAGCAGCTCTTTGATTTGCGCCTCGGCGAAGCCATGGGTGTGTGTGTGTGTGTGGTGTTCCCCTGCGATTGTACACCCAGTTGAGAAGCCATACCCCCCTTGTTGGCTACTTGCCAACTCTGTATGGAGGAGGTTTGGGGCGTAAACCCTCGAGAGGTACATTATAGCAGTCGTTTCTCGTTGTTGTGCCTCCCTCAACGGGGTGCCAGTGCCACGAGTCAGCTTCCCTCGATGGGTGGTTTGGATTGGCGGTTTGGAGGTTTGAGGGCAAGTTTCTATTTGGCAAATGAAGAGGAACTGGGCTTCACCAATTGAGGGTTGAAGATGTCTCTCGATTGGGGAAAGCACGATTGCTGTTTCGGTGATCCCGGCTTTGGGCCAGCGGAAAAAAATCAAGTAGAGGCATCAGCGGCCCTCTGCAATACTTATTGGAAGGCAGCGTAGGGTTGGGCTCTCAAAGGCTCTATGGGATGGGAGCCTCTTGAACGAACAAGCCCCAGTTTTGTTTCTGGGCTGCCCGGTTGGTGTGAAAAGCAACTGGCTGGGCACCGGCTGGGTCCCCAGATCACGGCCGAGCCGTGCTTCTCTCAGGCATGCCAATGAGGTGCACACGGAGGACCCGGAGCGGCGAAGCGGCGATAGAGACTTGGTACGTGTCTGAGGCGAACCTTTCAAATGATTTTGCCTTGTGGTGTCCCTTCAAACCTTCCATTTGCGTTTCAACATATTTGTTATTTTCCCTGTTGGTTTTGAAGGGAATCTATTACTACTGGATGACAATACGTATGTTTATGAATTCCAGGGGGCTCAAGCAAATCCAGTGTCTGAGGCATCCAAATGGTGTTGCCTTTTGGTGTCCCTTGAAAGCTACCTGGAATATTAATTTAGGAGGATTGTTGAGGGGATATAGAAGGGAGCCTCTAAACATTCACGTCCCCTGGAATGGGGACAAACCTTCAACATGGTTCGAGGGGAGTCCCAATGATGATGTCCACAAGATTTATTTTTACCATTTGCTGCGGCTGAACATGGTCGATGATCATCAGCCTCTAAAATGTGCTTGTTGTTTAGACAGCCAAGAAAGCCTTGTCAGCCTTGTCAATGCCCATCAATGCCTTACTAACAAGGATGTTGGCCCAACAATGAGGGTTTCTATGAAGGAGATCATGAGCATGACGGACCATTGAAATGCATCAGCAACGGTCAGTACTTGTCATTCCCACAGTTGAAGAGGACCAAACAATTGGAAACTGGGATCACACTGATCACACACCCGAACTCCATGGTGGATGATCAAATATTGATTTCTGCTCAGACCCCTGCGACTTGGGACTAGGATGGTCTTCATCTTGACGGCTGGTGGGGGTGTCGAAGTTTAGGTCTGCGTCCTGTGCATGTCTCCAATCCCATGAGTGCCATCACACATTTCCGAATTCCCATGTCGGTTGGGAACACCAGCGAAATCCAGCGAATATGAACGCGGCGGTTGTTTTGGGCCATTTGCAGAGCAGGAAAGGCGCGTGGTGTTTAAGTGCTCCCTTCACATGGGGGGTTGTCAAAATGAGTGACCCTTTTTGCTCCCCCTAAAAGGCAGTACAAGGTGCAGGGTCCAAAACGGGGCCGAAGCTTTTTAAGTCTGCTTCTGCCGCAGTATCGAAAGCTGTCTTCCGACGGCATCTCCACCTGCCCGCGGCTCAGCTCTCCGACGGCATCTCTACCTCGCTGCTTTTCAGCTCCCAGCTCCCGCTCAGGCCTCCTCTTGGTTTCCCTTTAAAACACGCCCAAACAGGGGTGCCCTCAAAAAGAAACAGCGCTCTTTTACGGACCTCAGAAGGAGGAGGTGCCCTCAAAAGGGCCGAGTCGAATCGCTTGACAGCCGTCCCCGGTCCGAGGCACCCTTCCTTCCGGAGAGAAGCTGCTGAAGGCAGGAGAAACACCGGCGTTGCCAGGCGACCAGAAGCAAAGGTCCAACGCAAGAACTGCCTTTTGGGACGAGCAAATGAGGAGGCTATCTCTTGTTTTTGTTCACCACAAAACGAGCAAACGTGCAGCCAGACAAGTCCAATAGCTGACCCAGAATACTTCAAGCTGACCCAAAAGGAAGTCGGTCAAGATCAAAGGAACTCCACAAGGCGATCAATAGAGAATACCCAATGTGCCCTGTTTTTGTTGACCCTCACCTGTTTCTTGGACGCATCAACCAACCGGTGCCGCGTGAATCGATTCGCCAGGTGGACACTAAGATCCTGGAGTCTTTGTCCCATGAGGCCCGCTGGGCTGAGTGCTTGTTTGTTTTGGCGGAGAGCTGGGATGCTGGAAAATGTCCTTGCGTTGTTGTCGTTGTCGTTTGCCATTTTTTTTTGTGTTATGCAGTTGTGTTGTGGTTGGTTGTTCCCTGATTGGCTGTGCTTCGTTTGCTTGTTGTGTGTCGTTGTCCTTGACACTTGCGCCTGACTGTTTGATTGCTACGCATCGTGGCACTGTGCGCCAATGCGCGTGAGGGCAACACTAGTTTTGAGGGGTTAAAGCCAAGGCGTTGAGCCGCATCAATTTGGCAACTCTCGGGGTTCGATGGGTGAGTCCTGACCCCCTGAAAAGGCGGCACGGAATGTCACTGAGCTCACAGATGGGGGGAGGCGTGGGGGTAAACGCATGATGCTTTCAGGCAAAAGGTGGACTATACTATGATAGAGCTTTGAAAGGCTATGTTCGGGCCCTTCTAATTCTTGTTGATTCCTTTTTATCCTCTAGAACTTCAAACTGACTGGAATGCTTTCTCAACCCAGTTTGGAAAAAGGCCGGAACGTGACAGCCCCACAAATGAGATCATCCACATGCCGTATATTTCATGCGAGAAGGGTACCACCGGAATATTCTCTACGGCTCATGTTAGATGTGGACGTGTTTGTAATTTACCATAAACAGATACATTTGTTGACCCCTTCACAACCTGGTTCTGGCAACTTGGATGAATACGTTTGAGTTGGGTCCACTTTTCTTTGAATGCCAAAAGAGTGAGGGGTTTTGCATAGTGAGGGAGGCACGAAAGCGGCTCGAGGCGATCGTGGACATTCAGCACCTCTTCAGACCCAGTCACTTGCAGATGCTGTCCAATATCCTCAAGGACCCAAAGCTCCACAGATTCTGGCGCCGGACTCTTTCCGAAGATGGGTATTCCCAATGCGAGTCTCAAACCCCACATCAGGAAACTCCGGTACGGCCACTTGCTTGGCCTTCGAATTCGGCCCCATGTGCAGGAGAATCGCAAGCAAACAGCCAGGCTCGCAAAAACATACAAAGGACAAACCTCCATGGCAGACACGAGTTTTTGGCATTTTCGCCAAGTTTTGCGGGGAGGAGGAACCCAAGTTTGCTCAACCTACGGTATCCGGTTCGAATCACTGCCAGAGGCGTGCAGCTCGCCAGATTGGGGTTACATGGTGCGAAGGGGCGAGCCCCGAAAGATGGCATCGTTTTCCTTTATAAAGAGGATGGTTCGCATCCGCATGGTGTTAAAACAGTAGGTGTTTGACGACCCTATGGAAGGCAGGGTGCCATCATCAAAGGCTTCAAGTTGTCATAGCGGTTGTGATTTCACCCGAGTTTTCCTTGGACAGAAGGAGTCCCTCTGAACTGCCCAAGAAAATCACCCGGTACTGTAGCTGAAAGGTTCTTGTTACGTGTGGGAGTTACGGGTCCTCGAGGATCCGGAAGCGTCTTCCAATGACCGCTTTGTTGCGTTGGAGCTGCTCAAGAACGCCTGCGCTGCTTGGCTTTTTGCTCGGCTTTTCCGAAGGATTTCGGATTGGCTGTGGATTCAAGTAGGCAACCACCTCAAATTTAGTTGGACATGAATCACCAAATTCTGATGTCCACCATTTCGCGGCCCGAATGAACATTCATGGGTCCTGGTTTTAAGATGGGTCGCGAGTGAGTCTCAGGCTTTGCTCTTGGGCCGTTCAGCAAGTCCGGAGGGCGGCCAAGGGCCAACCCTCTCAAGCCAGGTGCCCAAAACCGAGCAAGCTCCCCTCATGATTCCTTATTGCCAATTTGTGGACTATAGGCGTCAACAATGCATCCGTTGAAAGGGAATGTATAAAGTGACCCGCGGATCTTGAAGGGAAAGGGAAGTCTAAATATATCCTAGGGAATGCACCTTTTGCCCCACATTGAACATAGAAGTTGAGCTACGCGATGAGCCTTGTGCTGAACCAAGCGCTGAACAAGTCACCACCCCGCCTAAATTTGTTTGGTGTCGGCCATGTCTTGTTTGTTCTGCATGTACAAGGGCTGATTCTTGTCACCCATCTTTCACCAACAAAACACTCAGCTTGGCAGGGTGTTTGGAGCCGGTTTCTGTAGAAGAAGGGTTTCTGGAAACAAATAGTTTGGAACTGCGCGTGCAGTGGCCGAATTAGACTTCGTGGAGTTCGGGCCATTTTCAGCTACATGGTGCTGAAAGATTGCTGGGTGAACATGGGAACTCCGGGTATTTTGGAAGCATGACTACGGAAACTGAGCGCTCTTTGACACGGAGTGGCGGCCGCGCAGGTGAGGCTCAAACTAGATCTGCAATGAGCTCATGCTACTGTGAAGGCTCCTTTCGCACATGGATATGGCATTTGAAGAAAAAACGGATGCTCAAAAAGAAGGAAGCC